ATTATTTTAAATATGCAAAATCAAAATATTTACATTAGTGCTAGCTGTATAAAATTAAATAAACATTTATTAAAGGAGGGCACCTGGGTGGCTCAGTCGGTTGAGTGTCCAACTCTCGATTTCAACTCAGGTCACGATCCCAGGGTCATGGTGACAGCCTGCTTGGGTTTCTCTCTCTCTCTCTCTCTGCCCCTCTGCAGCTTGCACAGACATACATGCTTGTTCTCTCAAAGTAAGTATTTTAAAAAATAAAATATATGATTTCACTCATGTGGAATTTAAGAAACACAACACAGATGAACATAGAAGAAGGGAAGAAAAATAAGATAAAGAGGGAGGCAAACCCTAAGAGACTCTCATATACAGAGAACAAACTTGAGGGTTGCTGAAGGGGTGGGGGGGGGGGATGTGTGAAATGGGTGATGGGCATTAAGGAGGGCACTTTTGGGGATGAGCACTGGGTGTTATATGTAGGGGATGAATCCATGGATTCTACTCCTAAAACCAAGACTACACTGTATGTTAGCTAACTTAAATTTAAATTTTTAAAAATGGTTTTAAATCATTAAAGGAGAATAGTCTATATGATAGCTATAGCAGGATGAAATTTATATAAATATAAATAAACCAGTTTTTCATGTTTTATGTTCTATTTAAGTATCCAAATAAGGACAAAGTGACAATGAAGGGCTCAAGCCCACCAGCCAGCATGATCAAATTCAAAATTGTGCCACACCTGCTGTAGTTTTCTCTTTGCTTTAAGTTTTAAAGTTCATTTATTTTGAGAGGGAGAGAGAGCATGTGCATGAGCAGGGGAGGGGCAGAGAGAGAAGAGAGAATCCCAAGCAGGCTCCACACTGTTAGCACGGATCCCACGAACCATGAGATCATGACCTGATCAGAAATCAAGAGTCAGATGCTTAATTGAGCCGCAAAGGCACCCCCAGTGTTCTTTATTAATAAAACAATGCAGATCTCCATGAAGCCCCCGCATATTCCTACACAATCTCAATACTGACCTCCCTTCCCCACAGTTAAACAGGATCCTGAAGTCTTGCCTGTATCATTCCCCTGGAATATCTCATATGAGTAATGATGTATCCACAAGCATCGTATGCTTATGTTACTCTATATATTACATGCTCCTATCTGCTAGACATAGTATCAACTATTCAATTTAACAACTATTTTGGCTTAATCATGGTCTTTTCTATATTTATCAAAACTGACACAAGCAGATTTGGTTTATCAAACTTAACATACATTCTCACATCAATGGGCATTTGGGTTTATTACAATTTTTTCCTATAGTAGAGATTAATGAGACACGTTCACACGTACTGATAGTGTTAAACTACGCATAGCAAATATCCACCAAATTCCCTAGTGGCAACCTCTGGGACGGGAGGAGGGAAATAAATAATAGAGAGGATTTGTCCATAATGATACAGTTATCCCTGTCTGAGGGCAAAGAAAGGTCTTTCTGTGTGGGACTTGGATCTAAAACTCAGTTTAAAATATAATAATAGGACCTCATGTGTATGTATAATACTTTACTATTATATGGTAATATAATAGTATATTATATCGCCAGTCGTTGTATGGCTGTTTATATTAATGCTCACTGTGCTGTTCTGAAGATTTAAAATATTCCATATTTTTTGCAGGGATTTTCAAAGACTGGAAAGGTAGACTAATGTGTCTCAACCTCCTCTCCCAAGGTCCTCACAGTTAAGAGGTAGGGACAAGACTTGAGTTCTTCTCTAAGGATAAAATCTGAAACCAGATATGGGAAAATTGAGAAGCCAAACTCACCCATCCCAGTCTTACAGCCAAAAAAAAAAAAAAAAAAAAAAAAAAAAGAAAGAAAGAAAGAAAGAAAGAAAGAAAGAAAAAGAAAAAATGATGGAAACCAGAGAATTGTACAGTCATCTGTCCAATTTTTGAAGGGGCGAATTCATGCTCAGGTGGTAAAAGACAGAGTCCCTGGAATTTAAAAGGCAAAGTAGGAGCCAGAAATGAAAGCTAATTGCAAATTCAATGTAACCTAATCTTACTTAATCCTTAATCCTTCTCTGACTTCTCAGATGTCCTCCAGATGGACTGATTTTAAGTAACTGTTCAATTTCGCACAGAATTTATTAGAACACATCAGATTACCTTGAAGTCATCAATGGGTAATTCACCCTTCCTCTAGATACTGAAGGATAGAGATGGGAAATCTGTCCCCAGGAAGGGCAGGTGGGCCAAGTCAATTGGGCTCCTGGGCACGAGGGAGCATCTCAGAAGGAGACCCAGGTGTGCTGTTTCCTGACCTGAGCAGGTCTTTGAAGGCAATGGTCACAGGTAGACTCTACACTTTCTGTGGCCCTGGGGGCTCAATTTCCAAAGCTCCTCATTAGCCAAATGTGTACTGTCATTTCTTCCACAAGACAATTCAAATCCCTATGGAGCACAGCTCATAGAAAGAAATCCTGGGGGCACCTGGGTGGCTCAGTTAAGTGTCTGACTTCAGCTCAGGTCATGATCTCATGGCTTGTGAGTTCAAGCCCCACGTTGGGCTATGTGCTGACAGTTAGAGCCTGGAGCCTGTTTCAGGTTCTGTGTCTCCCTCTCTCTCTGCCCCTCACCCACTCACACTGTCTCTCAAAAATAAACATTAAAAAAAAAAACACATTTAAAAAAATAAAGAACTCCTGGGTGACTGATTTCCTGACCCTGAGAGGGCAAACATACATCATTCTTTTCCCACGTTTCCTCTCACCTCCAGGCAGAAAACTTAATTCTTGGATTTCTTGGGTCTGACCTTAAGAGAGCTGATGAGTTTTTCATTAAACCAATTCCCGGCTTTCTCCAAGTCAGATATTATCACTGGAAGAATCAGAGTGGTGTGTAAGGCCCCACAAGGACAGAGACTGGGGATACAGAGCATATCTCACCGGATCATCTCGTCATTCTAAGAATTTTTTTGTTTTTAACTGAAGTTCCTTTGTGAATGAGGTTAGTTCTATTATAGTAAAGAGTTCAGAGAAACCAATTTTCTAGTTACTTGGGCAGGACTTTTGGAGGTTGCCTAAAAAACAGACATCAAAGCCAACAATCATAGGGCACCTGGGTGGCTCAGTTGGTTGGGCATGTGACTCTTGATTTCAGCTTAGATCATGATCCCACGGTAGTGGAATCTATTCCTACATCGGGCTCTGCTGCTGAGCGTGGACAGTGCTCAAGATTCTCTTTCTCTGCCCCTCTCTCCTGCTTGCGCTCACTCTCTAAAACAAAACAAACCACCACCACCCCCCAAAAAAACTACAAATTAATTGCATTAACATTGGGAAAAAGGAATATACAGGAACTCTGTACAGTCTTTTCAACTTTTCTAGGAAGTGCAAAACTAGTTCAAAATTTTTAAAAAGTTAAAAATCAAAATATGGTCCTATCTATGGCATACACATCAAAATAACCAAAATGAAAAAGACAACATAAAATACTAGGAAGATTACAGACATACATACTGTCACAACTACTTTGTAAAACTATCTGGTAGTATTGAATAAATGTGATTGTGTGTATTCCCTATGACCCACAAACTGCACTCCTAAAATATTAGCCCAACAAAAACAGGTACAACTGTGAACTAAAACATGTGCAAGAATGTTCATAGCAGGTAAAATATCCCAGCTATAAACAACCCAAACATCCAGAACAGTTGAATGAATAAATTGTGTGTATTCGTACAATGGAAAAGCTATGTATCGATGAGAATAAAATTCTGCTAAATGAAGAATATAGATGCATCTCATAAAGACAACATTGAGCAGAAGCCAGGCACAAATGATAACGTATCAGGTACAAATAGTGCAAATAACTCCATAAACATACTAAAAACCACTGAATTTTATACTTCAAATGGGTGAAATTTACAACATGTAAAGTATATCTCAATGAAGCTCTTAAAATGCATGATTCCAGGGGCACCTGGGCGGCTCAGTTGGTTAAGCGTCCAACTTCAGCTCAGGTCATGATCTCGCGGTTCGTGAGTTGGAGCCCCATGTCGGGCTCTGGGCTGACAGCTCAGAGCCTGGAGCCTGCTTCGGATTCTGTGTCTCCCTCTCTCTCTGCCCCTCCCCTGCTCAAGCCCTGTCTCGCTCTGTCTCTCAAAAATAAATGTGAAAAAAAATTTTTTTAATAAAATAAAATCTTTCTTAAAAAATGCATGATTCCATAGAGTACATATATTCTGGTGGCAGGAATTAGAGTGATTAGTGAGTGGAAGGAAGCAGTGAAGGAGGATTCTAGTGCTGATAATGTTCTAATTCTTGCCCAGTGTGTGTAGTAGTTAATAGAGATGTACTCTACCTTGTCAGATATTCATTGGGTTGTAAATTTTTTAACACTTACCTTAAGTAGAAACAGTGTGCTGTGAAAAGTATAGAATTTCAAAGATTCAACCATTCACAATTTTGGTGGGAAGATTCATTTCAGACCTTGTGTCAGGAAATGGTAGGTTAAGAGACATGATCTGGATGAACTACAAATGCAACTTAAAGTCTTTATCAAATAGATAAAGATAATAATAGATAAACACACCTATATCCCTATTATTAACCCTATAATAATTCAATTTTTAAATTATATATATAAAAAGTTTTTTAAACCTGACGTGGGTTATATTGGTTAGTGACAGCAGTCATTTGTAAATAAAACAACCTTCCTCCCAAGACACACATGAACAGACACTGTAAACATGGTGGCTTAAAACATTAGGCATTTATTTTTCTCAAGTAACAAGCCTTGGAGATACTAAAATTTTTTCCTTTCAGTTGTCAAGCGGTCACCTATCTATGGGATGAATAAAGGATTGATCACAATCATTACGTAACTTAGATTTCTCCCACAGATTATTCAGAGGCTTTGTCCCATTCTTTACATCCAGTTTTTCTCTGCCTTTGCTTGTATGCCATAAAGATCGAGAGTTCAAGAACTATTCCAAAGGGACATTGCTAGGAGTTTTGTCCAGCATGAGTGCTCTCATGATGCCTCCGAAGGGATATGAGCTTACTGAAAGCACGACCACAGACATTGCACTGATAGGGTTTTTCGCCAGTATGCACTCTCTTGTGCACGGTAAGATTACCCCTTACATTGAAGGTTTTCCCACACTGATCACACTTGTAGGGTTTCTCCCCAGTGTGGGTTCTCATGTGTATTGTAAGGGATGCATTCCTCCTAAAAGCTTTTCCACACTCACTACAGTTGAAGGGTTTCTTCTCCCTGGTGTGCTTTTTCATATGTCTCCTATGAGATAAGACACCACTGAAGGCTTTCCCACATTCCTTACACTCATATTGTTTCGTCCTCATGTGAATTTTCTTGTGCAAAACGAGGAAATAATTCACTCTGAAGGTTTTCCCACACTGATGGCATGCAAAGGGTTTCTCTCCAGTGTGAATTCTCATGTGCTCTTTCAGGCACGAGTGGTCCCTGAAGGATTTCCCACAGTCCTTGCATATACACGGTTTCTCTCCAGCATGCATCTTCTTGTGCACTATGAGATTACAGCTCATTCTAAAAGTTTTCCCACACTGACCACACTTGTAAGGTCTCTCTCCAGTATGTATCCTCAGGTGTGTCTTCAGGTATGACTCACTACTTAGTGCTTTTCCACAGAGGTTACACTCAACGGATTTCTCTCCAGTATGGATTCTCTTATGTCTTTTAAGGTACGGGAGAATACTGAAGGTTTTCCCACAATCATTGCAGCCATAGGGCTTCTCTCCAGTATGTAATATCTTGTGTGTGTTAAGCCTAGACCTTCTACTGAATGTTTTGTTGCACTGATCACACTTGTAGGGTTTGTCCTTCGAATGAATCTCTTCATGTTGTCTAAGAAGTGAACTATCTCTGAAGGTTTTTCTACAGTCACGGCATCCATAGGGCTTCTCCCCAGAGTGAATTCTCTTGTGCCGATTAAGATAAGAGCTTGAACTGTAGACTTTCCCACACTGGTTACATTTAAAAGGTTTTTCTCCACTGTGGGTTCTTATGTGCAATGTAATAGATGAGCGGCTCTGTAATACTTTACTACACTGCCTACCTTGAACAGAGTTGTCTCTAATGTGAGTTTTTTCATGCTTCTTAAGGTAGAAGGTTGAATTTAAGACTTTGCCAGAGTCACTGAATTCATAGGATTTCTCTCTTGTATGTTCTCTCTCATGTGCACCTAAGAAAGAACTCCTGATAAAGGTATTTTTATCTTTTTTACATTCATAGAATTTCTCCCCAGAATGAACACTGTCATGTGGGTTAAGGTGAGAACAACCTCTGAAGGGTTTCCCAGGGTGAAGGCGTTGATGGGGTTTCTCTCTGGGATGAATTCTCTGATTCTGAGCAATGCTAGATTTCATGCACAAGGCAATTTTATTCCGTTCAATGGGTCTGCCTCCATGAGTTTGTTCCTATTGGTTAAAATGAGTTATGATCACAAGATTTATCACATCAATCGTATTGATTTGAGAATCCCCCCAACATAAATTCTGACATACACTTAGAATAAGAGTTTACTTAGTATTTTCTTAGAGAATATACACAGCTCCTGTCTGAGTTTATCAGCATGAATAAGAGGAATGTTACACCAGATGGCTCCCAACAGGGTCTCTTTAGTGTTTAACATGTAATTGCTTTGGAGTGAATTATGTCTTAAATATTTAATGTCTAACTTCCATTATGAATGTATTTACTTTGGGGATTCTCTGAAACCATTTTTAGAGCTAGGATGTGAGTTTCCTTCCAACTCATGATTTATAGAATTTTCCGTTTTCTATTGTTAAAACAAGAACCTCAAATTACCCTTTAGTTCATGAGTTCCTTTTCCATTACATGGAATTCTGGACTTCTAATAGAGAGCAAGAAATTCTCATATGACTCTTACCTTCTTGCCATGTAGTGCTTCTTTCTCCAAAACATCTTGTTTATGTTGTGATTGTGTGGTTTTAGGGAGAACTATCCCATCTGAACAAATTGGGGGGAAAGTAAGTTTTGGGAAAGAAGAAGTGGTGACAATATGTTGGCAAAAGCAGGTAAACCCCAAGTCCAATCTAAGACAAGTAAGAAACAACCTAGAATATAAAATGATGGGATGGGGGCGCCTGGGTGGCTCAGTCAGTTGAGCTTCCAACTTCAGCTCAGGTCATGATCTCACGGTCTGTGAGTTTGAGCCCCACGTCAAGCTCTGTGCTGACAGCTCAGAGCCTGGAGCCTGATTCAGATTCTGTGTCTCCCTCTCTCTCTCTGCCCCTCCCCGCTTGTGCTCTGTCTCTGTCTCTCAAAAATAAATAAATCCCATCAAAATAAAAATAGAAAATCCCATTTCTATTTAATTTATATAATTTTTTCCCATTGCATATGAGTAAGGGCCTGGCAGGAAGAAGTTAACCTGAAAAATACTTTCAGTATAAAGTAGTGCCTGAAAACAGAGGACCAGCGGGGTGCCTGGGTGGCTCAGTCGGTTAAGCAGCTTTGGCTCAGGTCATGATCTCGAGGTCCGTGAGTTCAAGCCCCGTGTTGGGCTCTGTGCTGACAGCTCAGAGCCCGGAGCCTGATTCAGATTCTGTGTCTCCCTCTCTCTCTGACCCTCCCCCGTTCATGCTCTGTCTCTCTCTGTCTCAAAAATAAAATAAAACATTAAAAAAAATTTTAAATGATGGGATGTTTAGGACACGACTAAGACCAGTGTGGACTTCTCTTCAAATAGACCCTAACCTTAGGAAGACAATGTGCAAGAAAAATACATTCTTGATCAAAGGAATGATATTTACATGCCTTAGTGTTTTATATAATTTACTGAGGAACGTTCTACCATGATTGAAAATTATGTTAACAGGCAAAGACCAAGGCTATATATGCAAAATGGGAAGAATTAGACAGTGATTCTAAATGTAAATATTAAAAGGCAAGACAGGTCTTTCTTTCAAAACATAAGAAAGTATGACAGGTTAAAAGCCAAATACTAGAGAACGTTGAAGTTACACAAATAAGCCCACACCAAATGGTCTCTGCTTTCTCCTCAAATTTAAAGGGTATTTGGCTTAAGTTTCCTGTTTGACTTTTCATAACATACCTCCCTCTCAGCCCCACCAGATCTGGTACAAAACATTCATATATGTCCACTGCTCACTTGAACAAGTATCTTGGTGATTTCTTGTCTCTGATTTCATTTCATCTTCCTGCTGCATCTGGGTGATCAAAGCAGGTCTGCTGAGCTGCTTTTCTATAATGGGGAACAATGCACATGAGAGACCCATGCGGTATACAACAAAAACCACCACAAAACTGTGGTAACAACAAAAACCACCACAAAACTGTGGTAACAACTTCATCTTTGAGGTTCTGAAGATAGGTAAGTGTGACTTCAGAATACACACACACACACACACACACACACACACACAAACACACAAAACTATTAGGTTACAAGATAAAAAATCACATACAATGTATCAATTTTATTTCTATATACCAGCAATGAATATCATGGAAATGAAATTAAGAAAACAATTCCATTGATAATAGCATCAGAAAGAAAATGTTTAAGGATAAATTTCACAGAAGACTTAGGCATTGAGAATTACAATACATTGTTAACAGAACCTACAGATCTCTATAGGTAGAAAATATAAAAATGACCAATCAGAGATGAAGAACCCAATAATTTAAATTAAAAGTACACTAGAGGGGTGGCGCCTGGGTGGCTCAGTCGGTTGAGCATCTGACTTTGGCTCAGGTCATGATCTCACGATTCATGGGTTCAAGCCCTGCATCGGGCTCTGTGCTGATAGCTCAGCAAACACTTAAAGCACTACCAAACATTTAGGGGCGCCGGGGTGGCTCAGTCGGTTGGGCGTCCGACTTCAACTCAGGTCACGATCTCGCGGTCTGTGAGTTTGAGCCCTGCGTCGGGCTCTGGGCTGACGGCTCAGAGCCTGGAGCTGCTTTGGATTCTGTGTCTCCCTCTCTCTCTGACCCTCCCCCGTTCATGCTCTGTCTCTCTCTGTCTCAAAAATAAATAAATGTTAAAAAAAAAAAA